TGTGTGTGTGTGTGTGTGTGTGTGTGTGTGTGTGTGTGTGTGTGTGTGTGTATCTGTATGTGCATGTATTTAGTTGCTAAATCTTCGTTAATGCTTTTGTCTGTTCACCTCATCGTTATCATAGAGTGGCAAAGCTGAAACAGACAGCGGTGATCATAGTTCTCCATTCATTTCTCCGCTTGGACGCTCTATAAAAACCTTAACTATCCTGGTGTTCCCCCGTCACCTACCTATCAAGGTTTTACAAATCGTTTTACTTACATTAGAGTGATATTATAATCTATTCGTATTTGTCGGTTAGGATACCAGATTCGTTATTTGGCTCGGTCCTATCAGAAAATGGTGTTAAATTCGGATACCCTGCCTCTTGAATAACCTTACTTCCCACATGTTCCCCCTCTCCGCAGGAGTCGATGAAGCTGATGGGCATGGGTCTGCCGGCCTACTGGCTGTCCTGGTTCCTCACCTGTTTCTTCTGCCTGATGCCCTCGCTCATCCTGTACACCGTGATTCTCGGCGTGGACGTGAGCGGCAAGGGTTCGGTTCTCCCCCACAGTGACCCGAGCATCGTGTTCGTGCAGCTGTTGTGCTACAGCCTGGCTCTCATCTCCTTCACCTTCATGATCAGCTGTTTCGTGCAGAAAGGTCAGTGGGTGCAGTGAGAAATGTCAACCTTTTGGTGTTTTTGTTTTTGTTTTAATGTGTGTGTTTTACAATTTCAATGTGGGTGGTAGGCGAGCGCACCTGTGTGGTTTGCTCCTTCTTTCTAATAAAAAGTCTGGTGTCTCCCCCCCCCCCCCTTTCTATTCTTTGTATGATATCTCTTAAAAGCATCTTTGATATACTGAATTTATATGACCTATTTGGTTTGAGGATGCAGTAGAATTCTTACTTAAACTAAAAACCAAATGTCCCCATAGACAGAGTTCAGTTTATCTAGGAGCGGGGATCGACCCTGCCTGCCCGGCCGACCAGGACTGAGAGTGATGCAACCGATCAGCAGAAAGACACAAAGACGAATGTAGTTTCGGGGACATTTGAATCGATACAGAGGCCATGGAAAATCTTGCTTAACTGGCAAAAAAAAAAATAATTAAAAAGCAAGCGAGATAGGGGTAGACCCAAAGCAACTAACTTGAAAAACTTGATTCGATGAGTGACATGGACAAGCCGAACCAGTTCAGGCTCTTGAGATTATCTGAGGTACCAAATGAATGACCAACCACGATCGCCGATGTGTTTTTCAAATCTGGCACTTGAGGATGAAGATGTACTTTTATGGACAGTTTGAGGAAGTCATTTTTTTCGTTCTGTTATATTCCTGTCTGTCTTGTTCTTTCCCTGCACTAAAATAATCGTCACTGTGTAGATGTTGCTCTGGTTACTCAAGCAAACACATTTTTTACACTGCTGAAAAGGGCATTAGTTTTAGTAAGTGTTTTGCGTCACTTTTGCAACAAAATGAGGTTATATAAGTACCGAAGATTAGAAGTGTTACAAGAGAACAACAAACGCAAAAAAGAAAGAGGGGAGATAAAGACGATAGATGTTTGATGGGAAAGAAGGAGCAAATCACACCAGAGCACCCATAAACCACCCAAGAAGGGGCATTAAGCTTACACAATGACCAGTAACATGTTATAAATGGTCGCTTTTAAGGACAAGCGGCTAACCCAGATTTCGGGGGTTTCCAGAAATCTTGACCTACATCAAAAGTGGGTATTGCACTACTATAAGATGAATTTGGTTTCCTTGGAGTGTATATTTTTTGGTTATAAAGAAAGCTCTCCTTGTTTTTTTAAAGAAACTGTTCAAGGGGCAAAAACTTTGCCTTCGATTTTCTCAAAACAGCATTTTTCAGGATAGTCCCCTCGAGCTTAAAAGCGACCAAATACACTAAAACGACTGTGTTGTCCTGACCAGTAACGTATTGATACACTCTAACGTCTTTAATAATAATGTTGTCGTTACCAGGCAACGACGGGGCAATCGCCGCTGGCCTCCTGTTCCTGATCGAGTACGTGCCCTACGAGATCCTCAGCCCCAAGTACAAAGCTCTCTCCTGGAACAAGAAAATGGCGTCCTGCTTGCTCTTCAACGTGGCTCTGGGACTCACCAACTTCAACATAGTGAGACGAGAAGCCATCGGTGGGTCTTATTATTTATTTTGTCGAAGTGTTTTATATCAACGATATGGGTCGTGATGAGCCAGTCAAAAATATAGTTTCTGCAATCTTTGTTTATAACATTATTTTAGGTAGATTTAGTTATTATGCTGATTACATTTGCACCAACGGAACTCACTTGGTATTGGATTATTTAAATTATCATCACTTTGGCTGGCTTGATTACTTGTTACTTTATCCTACTCGATGAGGCAACCGTAATTTGTTTGTTCTGCAGAGTTGAGTTGAAGTTACGAGAAAGCTATCATTACAAAAACGACTATTTAGAGATTTATGGAAAATACTCATGAAAATAAACATTCTGAATAAATTATTTGAAGACTGCATGGAAATAAACATTCTGAATAAATTATTTGAAGACTGCATGGAAAAGTTGGTGATGTCACATGTTTCTACTAACTAAAAATTTACACCTAGAGACTTTCTGTTTCTTTCATGTGTGGGATTCTTTAAAATGTCTGTGATCTATTGTAGAAATATTCACTTAGTAGTTATCTTCGATATGTTTCATCTTGTTATGCCATCGTTGATTTGCACGGAAAGGATTTAAATGAAAATACAATGGTTTGGGCATCACCAGTTTTCCCTTCTGAAAGGTGGCGTGAGTCCTTATGGATAGGCTACCGGACCCGTAATCGTGAGATTGAGGGTTCTGAGGTTCGAACCTTAGGTCAGCCCGATTTTGTGTCTTTGGGAAAGGCACTATACACGAATTTCCCAATTGGCTCGGTCTTTTCGGAGATAGACGTTGAACTCAGAGGTCCTGCTTCTTAAATATCCTAACGGTGTTGATAGGGACGCTAAACCTACACTGTGGGTGGTTGGCGGGTGCTCCGGTGTGGTTTGCTCCTTTTTTCCTATAAAAATCTATCGTCTCTATCTCCCCTCCTTCTTTTTCGTGTTTCTTACTCTCTTGTAACACCTCTTATCTTCGGCACTTATATGACCTTATTGTGTTGCAAGTGCCGTAAAACTTTTGCTAAAACTAAAACTAAACTGATACTATTTCACCATTTTCACCCCATGTATATGTAACTTCATCGCATCTATGTCCCCGTGTCCAGGCGAGGGTATACAGTGGGACAACGTGAACGAGCCGCTGGAGCCCGGTGACATCACTATCGTGGAGATCCTCGTCATGCTTCTGGTGGACACCGTACTTCACCTCCTGGTCACGTGGTACCTAGACAACGTGTTCCCGGGCGAGTACGGCGTGCCCAAACCGCCCCACTTCTTCCTTATGGTGCGTTTGGTGTGGTTGTAGATAGTGAGAGTATTACGGTGGGTTAAACTGTTGGCGGGTGCTCTGGTGTGGTTTGCTTCTTCTTTCCTATCAAACATTCCAGACTCTGGGATGGATCCTGAAGAGGGGG